AGCTACAAAGAGAGGTTAAATTGCTCAGATGGCTGATATATGATGCTGACTTTACCCCAGCATCACAAGATCATGGATTTAGACAATGGACCTGTTCTGGTGCCTCCATGTGCAAGATTGTGGAAAAATGTGAGCTTAAAAGTTCTGATAATCTATGTCAAACATGAGGCTTCAGTGGGCAGGACGTTTACATGTATTTACAGTTCTGTAAAAAAGGTAAAAGGTATTAATCCAAGAGAACCACCAGCTGCCAGTCATATATTTATTGATGCTTATAACTCAGGCAGTAATAAAGGTATAATCAGCAAGCTAAAACAATGCCATCACACCTCTGAATAAGGACACTGCAGATGATGTGAAGCAACGATGGGAAAAAGAGCTGGACACTGAAAAAACTGAGGACATGTGGCTGAGTGCCTGGGAAATGCCACAGTCAACCTCCACTAACTCCCGGACCTGGAGAGACTTCTGCTGGGGAAGCCTGATTCGCGTTTTCATCACACCCAAACAGAAGTCTAAACAAACTGGCACCAACCAACCAAGTGGCTCTGCTGCTGGAGGGACTGTGGAGAAATTATGGTCGACCATGCCCATGTTTTCTGGTCTTGTTTTTCTATTCTATTTTCAAAAACGTTGGGTTTTAGTTTTAGTATAACATTTACATCCCTTTTTCTTGGACATATTCCCGACGGACTAAGTAAAGATGATATCTATCTAAAGATCCTGCTGGCAGCAAGTAAAAAGGCCATTCCAAAATTCTGGCTCTCACTGTCCCACTGCTCGCCTCTTTGTTAATACTGTTAAACACTTACATCTTCCAGAACAGTTGACCTACTCCATATGACTTCAAGAAGAATTGGGCGAACAGTGGAGGAAATGGTGTGTTTATTCAGCCAATGAGACAGATTCCACATGATGATTGTTCGTACCATATACAACAACCTACTTTAAAACAGGAAAATTTGCCATGACTTTGTGAACATCCCATGACCTTATATTTGTCTTTTTTTCCTTTTTTCTTGTGTACTGCTTTTCTTTAAAAAAAAAGTTCATAAAGAAAAAGTATTAAAGGGAACTCTTCTTATTATAACAAGATATTTATCTTATTATATAGTTAGTTGGTTTATTATTTTTTTAGTTTTTTAGTTTATTTTATTCCCGTGTCATGCACCTAAAAGTGCCCAACCCTCATGGGTTTATAAGACACCAAAAGAGATAGTTGCACCGTTCACAGATAATTCATAACAATTCAGTTAATTTCAAAATAACAAAAAAGAAACAAACATACTATAACAGCTCATTCTTGAACAAAATATTCTCTCTTCTCTCCCAGGCCTTGCAGACTTCCTGAAACAAAGTTCAAGCTTTTCATAATCATCTAACTCAAAGAAATAAACATGGAAGGAAGGCATTCTACGTAATAACACCTCCCTCTGAGCCTCATAAGCAGGACAATAAAACAAAAAATGAACTTCGTTCTCAGTTTCCCCTAATTCACACAATAAACAAAGTCTGTCCTCTTCTGGACAGTTACTAACCCTACCAGTCTCTAGAGCTAGAGGTTACGTTCCTGAACGTAGCTGTGCACAAAGAGATCTTTGTCTTTTGTTAACATTATACCTCACAAAGGGTTCTGTGCTGTAGCTGTTCTTCATGAGACAGTTAGTTCACAACTTTGGTTCATACCAAATATCAACAGACCATTTCTCTTTATAAGTAAGGAACATTTTACTCCTAATCTCCTGAATATCACAAGATAACCTATTCTGAAAAATAAATGACATATCGTTCAAGTAAAATAAGGATTCAAGCTCTTTAACCCAAGGATGACCATGTGAGATACCCCAATTAAATATCTTTTTACTGAACCTTTGATCAGAGATCTTCACAAGTCTATTCCAAAACTGAATCATTACACATCTATGCCATATATCTTGTTTTACAAAACATTCCTGTTACCACACAAAAACAATGTGTATATTTAAAAAACTGCATATATGTCTCATATTAAGGAGAGACACTGCAGGTCAATGCATGCACAATCTGAGAAATAAAGTACACAGTCTTTGTTTGAACTTCTTCCAAACTGGATGTTACAAAGGCAGAGGATGAGCTCAGCGTAACAATATGGTCAAAGGGAATTATTTTTCTCATCCACACACTGGAAGTGTTTCATCAACGATCCCATCACATTATCCACCACGCATGTAATTATATGATCAGATGTCCTGGAACCTAATGAAGAGATTTCATGTTTGCTACTCTGTCATTCCTCCTTATGAAACTCTTGTGTTCACTTGTTCTGCTTCAGCGCACGTGATGTTTTACCAACATGGCACAACCCACAAGAACATTTGATCATGTAAAGATCATTTGCATTAGCATGTACCAAGATGTCTCTACAGTAAGTCTACGTCCTCTTCAGTAAACTATGAGCGGTGGTTCTTTTGAATCCATAGATATTGTCGGGTCTGATCAAAACCTCTTCCAAATGATGAATGTTCATTCATAAGATTAAAACTTTTTGCAAATAATCTTGTAAATAGCCTTTATTGTGTAGGGAGCCTGAGGTTTCCTGTGTTTTCCTTGTTCCCTTGTTCTTTAATTTGCGGGATATGTGACATATGGTGCACAGGCTGTTGTCAGTTACTGAGAAATACACGCACAGCTGATTAATCCTGCCACACCTGTGCACAACAGTGAAATGGTTGGAGCAGTTTCTATGTAAACTCACTGTTGGAGATAAAGGTGTTGAACACCCCCCAATTTTCTGAAATGTATGTTTAACTATGATAACGATTCATTATCTATTCAAATACGTGCTGATTTGTGCACATTTCTAGAGCAGAAATCTGAACATTGGATAAAGCCATGCTCAGAATTCTTGTTTTACTTTGTCGACACATTAACAGTTTTTAAAGAGAAGATTGTAGACATCTCTTTTAATCACTCCATAAATCAGGAAATGCTGTCACCAGCCATAAAAAAGCCATATTTGGTGTGTTTTTAGGGATGAAATGTTCAGTAAATCAGGCTATGAATTAAACATGAACAAACCTCTCTGTACAAACCTTCAGAATATAAACAGGAATAAATTTGGAAAGGTCGGTGTATGGAAATGTTAGTGAGGTGGAGATTTCTTCTAATATATTCATTTTATATTTATTCATTTATTTGACAGGGACGCTGCAATGTAACATAGTTCCAATACAGATTATGGGACTGGTGTGTTGCACAGTGGGTTTATAGTTGTTGCTTTACATGTAGACCTAAAATGTTATTAAGAATATACAGTTTAAAATGATATAAAATCACAATACACTGGCTTAAAGTGTGAGGAGAAACTACTTTTGAGAAAATGGCCTTTAAAGATATGTATTGTAAAATTACATACATTTTAAGACAAAAAGTGAGACACTACAGGTGAATGGGGAAATTTTTTGACCATTAGATATCACCGTGAAACTCCCCAAAGTTACACCAAGACTATTATTTTTTAGTAGGCTATAATAAGGTTTCTGAAATTTAATGTTTAAATATGCAAATTCAAATTATCTAATTAAATATGCGCTTAAATATGCAAGACAAGTTATAGAAGCAAAACAGCCCAAAATCTCAATATTTATGTTTTCAGCTCACCCAAACATACAGAATTTGTCTTGTTACCAACAAACTACATTATGGCAAGAAAAGTGTCTTGGTTTTGTGCAAAAGCAGGTACGTTTTGCGACACAGATAAAATGACATATTATAAAAAGAAATGAGGTCACGGGGTCAGAGGTCACGGCTGCAGCACTGACCTGTGTGTCTGTGTCAGGGAGTTCCTCATGGTCTTGATCTGCTGGAAGTGACAGGACATGTCTGTGGACATCACCATCTCTATCACCAGAGCCCTCAGCTCCCTGCCAACAATCAGTACACATGATCAACACAATCAGTGATCGATCACCATGGCAACTATCAACTCATCAGTGACATGTGGCCCACGTGTGTGTGTGTGTGTGTGTGTGTGTGTGTGTGTGCACCTCCAGTCGTCCTTGTTCAGGTTCACCAGGATGTTCATGTCCTCCTCTGCCATCAGCCTGTAGGCGGCGCTGACGTGGTGGTTCTCCAGCACCGACCTGTCGTTGTACAGAATGGCCACCTCTGACCTGACGGACACACACGACATCCAATCAGACGCTGACGTTTGCTACAGTCGCATTATACATAGAAGTTGTACATACATGTTCTTGTTATTCACCTGAGGCCTGGGATAAATCACCATGGTAACTGATGCTGAACAGCTAGTGTAGAGTGTGAGATCACAGCCTGTGAACACCCCGACCTCTGGCTAATCAGACCACTGAAGAAAAACCTATCCATGGACAAGAGCCTGGAGTCTCAGGTAAAACACAGTAGCCTGTATGTTGTTTGAGGTCAGTAGAGTCATTTCATTATTTCCACTGGTTTTAAAACAGCTTCTAACAAACACAGATATCCTTTACACACTAAACACATGATTTTAACTTGTGCAAAGTTTATTTCAGTCCACAGCGACAGTGTTGCTATTTTAACACTCTGATTCATCACTGCAGCTCAAAATAAGATGAGACACCTGTGTGATGAGGACGAGGAAAAAGATAATATTTTAATTAGTAAAACAATCCACACACTGTTAATGGGCTCCCATTATTATAACAGACCTCATCAGTCATTAACTGGGATACTTCTCCACCCTTTACTCCAGTGACAGAAACAGTCTGGTGTTACTTTAAAGTCTTTTATGTGACAAATTCAGAAGAGTTTCATCATCTTTCATCATCGTCATCTCTTTACTAATGTCACATACAGCCTGGTGATGTCTACACGTGATGTAAGGCTCAGCTGGCGGTGACTTTTTGGACAGCATTTTAAATGTTTCAACATTTTCCGTGATTAGATTACAGATTACATCTCTGCAGTTATCCAGGGGGACAATGTGACAGGTTAGTCAACCAGATAATGAAAAGATATCCTGGGTAAGCTGCAGTGGCTTCGTAGTACAGGCGTCTGGTAAAGAGATTCATTCAATGTTTTTGAGCATCCAATGTTTCATTTCTCTTCTGTGACGACGACGCTCGGTTGACAACTTTGGTCCACAGTGAAATATCTCAACAACTATTGGATGGTTTGCCAAGAAATCTGTCACAGATGTTCATGTTACCCGGAGGATGAATTGTAATAACTGGTGATTTTCTGTCTTTTAATGTAGCACCATCATCAGGTCAACTATTTAAGTGTCCAGTACTTTGGTTTGTGACCAAATACCTGCAGAACTAATGACATTCACATCAGCCTTTGTCTTTCAAAGTTACACCCAAAGACCTGAAATCATGCAGCGGTCATGTCTTATATTTGCAAAACAGAGACAAGATGACATGAGATATATAATTATATCTGTTCCATCACACAGAGTCTGTGAGAAAACAGCTTTCACTGTCCAATCAGATGCTTCGATCATCTGTATAGAATAGTGTGATGATGTCAACGTCCATGTTACCTGGTGTGGATGTGGAAGTTGTTGGTGGTTCCTGTGTGTTCGAAGTCGTGAATCGCTGCAGCAAAAACCATCGCCAGGATCTCCAGCTCGCTGAGCCAGTGCTGCATACGCACACACAGACACACACACACACACACACACAGAGTTAACTGAGTGGGTTAATATCAGTCACACTGTGGAGAAACTTCTACAGTGTGACTGTCCATAGAGACCATAGAGACAGAGAGACACAGTCGAGTGACAAAATTATGTCAGTGTGTGTGTGTGTGTTACCATCAGTCCGGTGTGTAGCATCAGGAAGTGTGCGGTCTGAGTGACATCAGCGGCGTGGATCAGGTTGTGGTAGGGGTTCCTGTGTTTGCTGTAGCCGTTCTCCAGAGCTTCAACAAACTGCACCAGAGCCTGCACCGGGATCTGGACACAGAACCACACGGAGCGCTGTGAGTACAACATGTTGTCTATGTGGATACTCAGTCTTCCAGAACCAAAGACATCTAGTAGCTCTACGCGCTAGACTGTGTCTTAGCTAGGTGAAGTAACGTCCTGGAAGTAGTCTGGCACATAACTGCTCCATAAAACCACAACTTTGGTTTTTGTATGAATAAAACAAACAAGACTGTGCATGTGTATTAGTGAGCTTTACAGTGTGTTCCAGTACCCATATTACCGTACCATTCAGTATGCCAGAAAAAGATTTAGTATGTCCCAATGTGTAGTATGTCTGATGCAGTGTGCCAAAAATACCAGGATGTTCTCCTGCATCCAGGCTCATTTTGTTGTATTCAAGCCAGCATGATTTTCTGGCTATTCTGACCCACAGTCCCACAAGATTCATCACGTGGCCTGAGCTGCAGACAGATTACAGCTCACCAACACATGACAGAAGCTGCAGTTACAGATGACAGCATGATTATGTGCAAGTGCTACATTTTTAGTGACTTGTGTGTATAATTAATACACATTTTTATATATGTGTGTGTGTGTGTGTTAATTTTGTGCTTCTACAGGTGACGTATGCATAAGAAAGAGGGGAAAAGTTTAAAGTGCAATGTTACAAAGAAGTAACTGCATCCTCCATGCAACAATACGTACTCGGAAAGTTGCAGTACGTACTGAAAGTAAAAATTAAAGTATGGAACGCAGCTTCAGACAGAGCTAGGCTAGCTGTTTCCCCATTTCCAGTCTTTGTGCTAAGCAAAACTAGTGAGCTACATTTAATTGCAGCCCGTCCTCACTCGTCATGAACCTTTTCATAAAGAGCTCTACTAGTACACCTAGCTCCACCCATCCTGACATGAGGCCCCACCCACCACACAGGTGTTAACATATGAAGCTGTGTGTACCCTGAACCTGTTGATGAGGTCATAGCGGGTCAGCAAGTCGTAGACCAGGAACTTGAGGGCGTGATCTCCGGTGGCCTCGTGGAAGGCAAAGACATCGAACGACCACTGATCCACTTCCTGGAAAACAACCAGTAAGATTCAGACTGGACATTCAGTAGAAACACAGATCCAAAAAGGTTTGAACGCTGTGTAAATATAAACAGAACGCATTGATTTGCGAATTGTTTTGACATATAGTCAACTGCATACAGTAGAAAGACACAATATTCAATGTTCAAACTGATAAACTTTATTGTTTTTTTTATTAATATACACAAACTGAGATCACCTCCAAAGATCTGGGCCTCTTCATATCAACACAACACAGACAGCACTGGAGTACATTAACAGTAAGTATCTTATCTTTGCACTGCATTTAATAGATTCATTGCATTCTGTTTTATTTAGGCTTTACACAGGGTCCCAACTTTTCGGGAATTGGGGTTGTGAAACAGGACAGCACAGTGGTCTTCAGTCAGTGTAATGTGGGATGTGTGCCAGTAGAGGGCAGTGTGACTGTAACGTTCGCTGACATCGAGAGGTCAAACAGCATATCCTGTTAAATTAATGATTATAATTATCCATTAGAGCATGATGACATTTTAAATGGCTGGGATTACGATTCATACAGTGGGCCTATTGTCTTCCAAAAGTTTTTATTGTTTTCCGCTTCTGTTTTACATCATTATAAAAGCATTAATAAGAAACGGCTGCAGAATAATTACTGATTCATTTCATTTTTTTTTCTCTGAGTTTGTGCAGGAAGCGCTGAGGGGGAAACATATGTCATCACACACACGACACGTTTTTTTCTTCATCCGCTTCCTACTTTCCTTCCTTACCTCCTCCTTTCCTTCTCTTCCTTCTTGTCTTTCCTTCCTCCTCATCTCCTTCTCTCAGTCCCTTACTCTTCCTTCCCTTCCCATCTTTTCTTTCATTGCTCCTCCGTTCCAACTCCCCCTTTAAGGGTGCTTTACTTTTTGCCATCGTGTTTCCTCCTCGCTCCTCACTCACGTCTCTTCCTCACATCTTAGCTCCTTCCAGCGAGGATGTGTGACAGAGGGATGCAAGGAAGAGGATGTGAGGACGGAGGAGCCGAAGCTGCCACAAGACAAATCCCTGGTTCCTCAGCATCTGTCTTTAGCAAAGCCAGTTACGATGCCACATGTGAGGTGCTGCATTTTTATGTCACATCGCTTGATGAAACACTTCCATGTAGCAAACACCTGTGTTTCCTTGCTCTAAGCCCGCCTAGAAGCCTCCTTACCTCCTCGCTCCTCAAGGTCCGTTTAAGAGATTGGAAGATTTTTTAATGATGGCTGGGAGGGAATAATTTCGGGGTTATGTGAGGAGAGAGGACGCAAGGAAGGATAAGTCAGCATAATTAAAGCACACTTGATTTCCCCCTCTACTTATCTTCATTCCCAACGTCCTCCTATCATCTCTAGCTCCTACTTTACCACCTCTTTCCTTCCCTTTCTCATCCTTTTGGTCTTCAACGTGTACTCCCCTGCCTCCTCCTTTTTGTCTCATGTCCTCCTTTATCTCCTCTTTACCTTTTTTACCTCCTACTTTTCCTTCCCTACCTCCTATGTTCCCTCCTTACCTTCTCCAATCATCTTTCTTCCTTCTACACCACCTACTTTTCTCCCCCTCCTCCTTCTTTTGGTCCTCAACATTGCCCTCTCTGCCTCCTTATTTCCTTCTTTACCTCCTACTTAAGTTTCCTACCACTTCCTTCCTGCATCCCCTTTTCCAATGCCACTTCTTCATTTTTCTCTCCTCAGTACCTCCTTCTTTCCTTCTCGTTCTCCCCCCTCTGATCACTTCCTTTCTTTTCCTACCTCCTTCAAGTCATACTTTCCTTCTTTACATCCTATGTTCCTCTCCTACCTCCTACTATCATCTATAACTCATTCTTTGCTTCTATACTTCCTACTTTCCTTCCCTTCCAGCACTTCTTTGTCCTTACCTCCTCATTTCCTAATCCACTTCTTCATTTTCCTCTCTACTTTCCTTCCCCTTCTGCTTCCTCTTTCTTTCCTTCTTGCATTTTCCCTTCTTCATCTGCATCCTTGCGTCCTTCCATATCTCCTTATTCAGTTTTATTTTCACTTTGGCTAATACTTTCCTGCATCCTCTTCACTTTCCTGTCTTTACCTCTCTCCTTTCATTCCCACCTCTCTCCATTCCTTCCCTTTCTTTCACTCCTCAGTCCTTTCCATAACTTTTCTTTATTCATTATTTATTTATTTTCCTTGCCTGCTGCCTCCTTTCCTTTCAAGTTTCTGGTGAGAAAAAAACTGTCTTCCAGAGCAGGAACTGACTGACTGAAAAAAAGTATATTTATGTTTTTAAAAATAAATAATAAAGTGATGCAACTTCCTGCAGATGGGACTGCAGTGATAAAACAGTGTTTACCTTCAGAGCTGTCAAAGCCGTGGGAGGGTAGGTCAGACCAGCCATGTTGGACGTCCGTCTGTACATCCTAATGTCACACACACACACACACACACACACACACACGGATAAAAATATCATGCACAAATCTCACACCTTGATACAGACAGTTGCATGCACATAAACACTCCTCACGCAGACCTCCAGCCGCACTCCTCCACAGTTTGTGACCAGGATGGATTGGTGGTCGTCATGGTAACCGTGTTCCAAACACACACGGAGAGAGAGCGCGCTCACCGCCTCAGTGCAGCAGATATTTTTTGATTTCATGCGTCATTAAGCCGCAGCAGATGAACTGATACTGTTCTATCACTGCGAGTCATTTACACTCTAATGACATTGGACCTCATGGTTTCCCTATATGATCTCCATCTCCAGCTCGCTGGCACGCTAACGTCATTACACTTCATGTTCGACCTCGTAATCACATCTGCGGTGAGGTCGGGGCCGGATGCCTTCTGATGTTTATTTGGAAGAAGTTGATGATTGTTTTCTGCTTCGTCTTCAGGTGTTCCAGATTACTGCCGGAGACAAAAATAACTCTGGGAACATTTCAAAGTGTCGCTCTTTGGTTCGAGACAATCGTCTGACTGGACTTTGATGAGTCAGTTATTAATATATTGCACTGCACGGCCTTGATTGGATTGTTAAATATGTGATTTCTAACCACAGTCATGAATGTGCTGCTCTAACGGCCTTCACTCCTGCAGCAGATTAAACACGAGAACATCAGTGACATCTAACACTGGTGTTGTAAAATAAGGTCTGAGCTCACAGTCAGTCCTCTAGTCCATCCCAGAGGTGTCGGATGTGGTTGAGGTCAGGGCTCTGTGCAGGCATGTCAAGTTCTTCGACACCAAAAACAGTTTCTTTATGCAGCTTTGTGCACAGAGGTTATTCATATTCTTTTGCCCAAACACTGCATCTCCCAGCAGAAACACTTCAAAATGAAAAATGTATGGTAAATATTTGTAGAGCTTGAACGATGGCTCTCTCAGTTGTGTTTCTTCTTGCCTTTTCTGCCTCTCCGTCTCTCCTTTCAGCTCCTGTATCTCCAATCTGTTCTTATTCCTGGGTCGTCAGAAACGGACACTTTGTCACGCCCCTTGGCATCTCATAGTAACATACAAGGCAACCTCTAGCTCATCTATGTGCTGGATATTGTGAAATTGTTGCTGTTAGGTTTAAGCAACAAACCTACTTGGTAAGGATGACCTAAATACATCCTGTGACTTAGTGCATGACAACCATTAACTTCTGGTTCCACGTAGGACAGAACCTGTGGTCGCCTGGATAAACGTCCAATTTCGTCTCTCTTGGTGTCAGCTATTGCACAGACGGGTTTACATTGTTACATGAAAGCCTGATGACGCCAAAGGGTGCCTTTAGCGTCAATATCACACACCGCAGGGCATGACAAAGTGGAGGTATTTGATGCCCAGGAAACGAGAACAGGCTGGCGTCTCTATCAAGCTTCATTGCCATACTCCATCTGTTCACCAGATGCCCTGGGACCTTACTCATCCTGCCCACCTGACTCCCTCATCTTCCTGCTCACCTGCGTGTCTCACTTCCCAATCACGCTATCAGTGTTTATACCACCCTCTTTCCCCCAGTCAGTCGCCAGATTGTCTCGTTTGCATGCGCCCTGTAGCTGATATTCTGCCTGCCTGATGATTCTCTGCAACAGATGATCCTGTCCAGATCCAGTTTATTTCATTTTATTGGGTGACTTTAGTGTTTTAAAGGGTTAGTTTGGCTTCACCAAAGTCACAGTAGCACGGACTAACTGACTCTGCAAACTAAAATTACTGTTTTTGTCAGTGGAGTCTGGTGACTTTGGAGAGAGGATAAATAACAGCTTCCAATCAGAAATTACTGTCCATGCCAAGGTGAGAATGTTCTATAGCGTACACTTAAACTGATATTGATCTTTTTTAGGTGGATAAAACTGAGCATAGAGTCTGACTTATCAATGTCATTTCTGTTTGTCATTGATGCTGCTCTGTTCTGTTCTTGGGGGGTCTTTGCTGCTGCTCTCCCTGCCTTAGCCTTTCCATAGGCACATGGAAGGGCAGGGAGGTGTGCTCTCTCTGCCTTAGCCTTTCCATAGGCACATGGAAGGGCAGGGAGGTGTGCTCTCTCTGCCTTATGACTTTCCATGCAGGCGTGTGGAAGGGTGGAGAGGTGTGTGCTCTCTCCGCCTTAGGCTTTCAAGTAGGCATGCAGAAGGGCAGAGAGGTGTGCTCTCTTTGCCTTATGCTTTCCATTTAGGCTTGTGGAAGAGGTTTTCTGTGTAGGCCTGAGGAAATGCGGAGGGGCCCCAGAACAGAGCCATACCAACAAACATAATACTGCAAATGGAATTAAAAGTTTTCTTTGACTAAAGTGACTGACTAAAATACTTTTTTTTTTCCCACAGCAGTACATTGCTTAGCTTCAGTGACAGTACTACACTGACTATGGTTAAGTACCCAATGCAAACCCACTACAAAAACTCTGAGCTGTCTAAATCTGACTGCCATTGCTGTGTGCGTTTGGGTTGTGTTCAATCAACTTGCTCACGTAACAAACTTAACTTACTAATCAACCAGCTCCTCTTGACCTCTATTAATGAAATATAAAGTCAAATTGAAGTAAAAAATTTTACCTCTCCACAAATATCCCAGCTTGCACTGCATGGACGATGCTCCTGAATCTTGGCTTCTCCTCGGGGCGACGTTTGGCCACGCCCATCTTCCTGCTGAAGGTACATGCCAGCCAATCACGAACTTCGCTGGGCACTGACTCCGCCTGCAGGTCGCTGAGCTCGTCCTCGGTGTCCAGCAGACGCCTGCAGGACAGACAGAAACACCCGTCAGTCACAACTGGGACAACCAATGAGGAGGATTTATTTAGCTTCACATCCATTCATCCGTCAGTCTGTCAGTCAGTCTTACTTGGTCTCATCAGTGTAAACAGCGTCCAACATGGCAGCAGCGAGCTCCAGGTTCCTGCGGAGCTCCTGCAGGTCCACGACACCCCGGTCCATCTGCTCCAGGACCCCCTTCAGCCTGATGACACAAACACACACACACACACACACACGTCACACACAGTACACTCATGTGCAGCTATGATCACCAAATAAAGTAAAACACAATTTATCCAAAGTGTCTATTAACTCATCAGTTACAGATTTTATCTATTGGAAATTTGTGATATGTGTCATTTGGTTCAGGTGGAGATGAACTTTCTGCTTTGACGATGACTTTTTTTTTCTCTGCCTCATCCCTCTAATAACTTTTATTTAAATGTGGCATTTACTGTCTGATCCATATGTAAGAAAACCTGATCATTCGACATAATAACTGCACTAATAATTAAAATCCAGCTTTGGAACAGAGACTTTCTTGGCATTGTGCCGTGTAGCTCACTTCATTTGTTCAGGTAAGGATGTTAGTTTTTTTGAAAACAGACTTATATTATTGCTTTTTAATATTTATGTTTCATAGCAGTCTGTAGAAATCACCATTTCCTACTGTCATTGTTAGTTCAGTCACGTCTTTAATAACAGCAGGACCGAATGGACTGAACTCGGTCAAGGTTTAGACAGCAGAAAGATTAAAAAACAGTTACAATGACTTAATACAAATGCTGCTCCAGTTGTTTTCTGCATTCTTTCTTTTCTTTCTGTTCACAAAGTAATCGTTATATTATACATACAGACCCATATGGAAGCAACGTGCTGCCACACCAGGGGGAAAAAACTGATCAGTAACAGCTACATGAAAAGTTTCACGTTATAACAAGATGTTTTACGTGTTTTTTCTTGTAAAACAAAAAAAGAAAGAAACATTTCACTCTATTACGTGATAACATATTGCTATAATGTGAAACCTCCACCCACCCTCTCCCTGCTGACTTTGATGGTGTAGACCAGCAGTCAGCAACCTTTACATTTAAAGAGCTTTTTTTTATTATTTGCCTGGAGCCACAGTACATATTTTTGCGTCATAATAAAGGTGACACAGCCTGTTAGGTCTGAATAAGCCCATCAATATTACGAAAAGTTCTAATTAGCATTCATTAATATGTTTTAGCACAAGGTAGCTACACACAGTGGGCTATTTATGAATATTTGGTACTTAAACTTTGTAGCATTGGTGGTGAAAGCAAAGAAATCTGTCCACTCACTATTATGTTCTCTGTTTTCCTCTGATACTTTTTCAGATTTTGAATCAATAGCTACCCTAGCAAGGGAGACTCTGCTGTTAACTAGCCACCACTACTTCATCAAAATCTGGGGAGATGGCATCAGGCCGTAGATGTATGACGCACGCTTTAGTTGACAGAATGTTAAAACTTTTATTTAGTGTATAGGTTACACATTTTTACAGCTGTTAAATGTAAGAAAAAAAATCTAAATGTTAAAAATAACCATTATTCATTTCCATATAATTTACCCTAAAAGACACATAAAGAGGCGCAAGCAGCTCCAGAGCCGCAGATCGACTACCCCTGGTGTAGACCTACAGTCCACATACTTATATCACCCACCATGTTCAGTAACAGCAAAATCTTGCCATGACTCAACCCAAGCTTGAAGCAGAACTTAATCAGGTCCTGTAGATGAGAGATATTCCTGAATGTAGCTGTTCTCCAACATGTTTCCTCATTTAAACACGAGTTTCACATTATATTATATCCTGAAATGTTTCATGTTACACCAAGATAAAATAACTACATTGGTGAAACAAGAAAAGTTTCTTGTTATAACATGAAAATATCTTCAGTAGACTCAGATCGCAAAGTCTATGTCGCTTAGTGTGAACACTGTGTACTGTACCCGGGCAAGATACGCTGGTCTGTGTCTGAGTCCACTTGAAAAGGTGGTCTTGAGTCAGATCATGTGTACTCAGGTACATTTTGCATCAGGTGAAAAAACAGCTGCACCGAAACACGGAGGTGGATGGCTATTTAACAAGAGCAGCTGTTAGCAAGTAGAGTTGCAAAGATGTTTCTTTATGCCACTGGTCTCCTTCAACATCTGCATATGTGCACAGCACGCACCTCACTCATCCTGAGCTGCACAGCCATGTGGACTGTGGACAAGTCCTCTGCTGTGGAGTGGTTTCCTCTCCATCTGAAATAACACTAGATTGATTTTGGGCTCCATTTGTTCAAAGATCAGCTCTGCCAAAATGGCTCGTTATCGGTCAAAGGTGCAAGTTGTCATTTTACTGTTTCCTCTCTGGTACATCCTCAGAAACAGGAATGTGTTTGGGTGCATTATCTGCAGCAAAACAGCGCAATTATATGAGAGCTCTTCACTTCATGCTGTTTTCAGCCTCATCAAGCTGCAGATCTCTTCCCACAGTGGATCAGCAGGAAATATTTTCAACCCAGCTGTTATCTTCATCTTATCTTCAGAGCCTTGTCACACTGAGCTGTCTGAGCTGACTGTTGCCAGATTTCACTCAGACAATCACAGCCCTGAACTCGCCCACCCAAAACTATTTTTACCTGCCCACTTGGATAAAAAGTGGCCCAATTCTGCCAACACAGTCTGAGCCGTTGTTTTGGATTCAGAGTGCTGAGAGCTCAGGTGCTCTGATAACATCTATGAAAAGAAAATAACACTAACATTATTTTTTCTTCCTCCATGTTTGAGCTTGTTTAGATGAAATCTGAGTGGACACTCGAAAAAGGTCAGTGATAGAAAGTTCAAATCATCTGAACTTAAAGGGCAGCAGAGAGTTATAAATCTGTAACATGCTGCTGCACTGCTCTTTTGTAGGGCTGTACAATATATAAATGTATATATATATATATATATATATGTATATATCCATATAGATTTTTTTTTATCCTCATCGTGATGTTGACTTGCACAATTCACACATTCCCAAAGACTGTGATATTGCACCTTGTTTATAGGTACAATGTATTAAATTACATTCTGTTTGTGGGCGCTATTTAGTCGGATATGTGTCTTGCTGTTAACTCTCTGACCAATCCGACAGAGCATTTGCCGTTGGGCATTGTCTCATTGGTCAAAATCTACATGCATGCAAGTGAGATTTATTAAACTAAGAAGTTTAAATCTCTGCTCCACCCGATCAGCTGGGCAGTACATTTTCAAGATTTCCCCAGGCTTGCATCAGGTCAGGTTCTCGCTAATTTTCCAGCATTTTTTATCTATAAGAATTAACAAAACACTTCACTTTCACTTTGGTGCTCTGCTGCTCCATCCAGAGTGCGTTCTGATGCTCCGAGTGTGCTGCTCTGAACTGAATGGTATATTCCAACAGCACCCTGACTTTACGAACTGGCCAGTGTGTGCCATAGTGCGCTCTGGCCATGGCTGGATTATTGAATGGGCCTACAAGGCACAGGCCCAGGAACCCAAAGTGTCAGGAGACCTCCCTGGACTTCACCTGCAAAATGTAACTCAGATTAACACAACCAGACAGACACAAAATGACCTCAAAAACACACAAAATAACCCCAAAGAGGCAAAGAATGACCTCAAAGAGCCAAAAATGAACTATAAGAGAAACAAAAGTACTTCAAAGAGACACAAAATGACCCCAAAGAGACAAAAAAATGATCTCAGAGACACAAAATTATCTCAAAGAGGCAAAAAATGACCTCATAGACACACAAAATGACCACAAAGAGACACAAAATGACCCTAAAGAGACAAAAAATGACCACAAAGAGACAAAAATGACCTCAAAGAGACAAAAAATGACCTCAGAGACACAAAATTATCTCAATGAGACAAAAAATGACCTCAAAGACACACAAAATGACCTCAAAGAGACACAAAATGACCTCAGAGACACAAAATTATCTCAAGGAGACAAAAAATGACCTCAAAGACATAAAAAATGACCCCAAAGAGACAAAAAATGACCACAAAGAGACACAAAAGTACTTCAAAGAGACACAAAATGACATCAGAGACACAAAATGACCCCAAAGAGATGCAAAAGACCTACTGTATAAAGACACACAAATGACCAAAGAAATACACAAAATGACCCCAAAGAGACACAAAGCCACTAAATGATGCATAACAATTACAAAGAGATCCAAAACAACAACCAAAACGAGACAAAACCACCACACAGCCTGTGTGTCTTGCTCCTGTGTAGGAGAGGTGGTCAGGCTGTTAGCATATCTGTGCCCAGGGGCCCATTGTCTCATCATCCGCCCACGACTCTGGCGCTCAGTGTGGCTATTTACAAACACACCCTGTGTCGCAAATGTCTGTTACCGCACTGAGAAGACTTCAGTTGACTCTAGCTTCTAATAAATGTTTCCTTTTTTTCTAAATGCAGTGGAAATTAAGGTTTTAATCAGGCTCGGGCCCAAAACTGCTGCTGTGGTGGTGGTTTGGGCCTGATCAGAGCTGAAGCTGCTGAGCTACTCTGCATGGCTGGGAGAGGAGAGTGTGACAAGATGAGCGCAGATGGAGGTGTGAAGCCAGAGAGGAATATTTTGGCAATATTTTGGATACAGGAGAGACAGCGTGGCACAAGTGCAGGTAGTGTGCAAGTCTAAGTCAAAAACTGCAAAGGAATAATTCTGATTTTTAGAGGTGGGGTTGTCTGGGGTACTTACCCACTGTTGGTGTATTATATACGGTCTGATATGGAAGCTAAGCAACAAAATACCCCATTTCAAAAAATCTGAACCATCCTCCCAAGTAATATCGTTATCATGATATTCAACAATGTTATTGCATATTTTCATTATATCATAGAGGCTTCGTTTTTGCACTGCACTCCACTGAATTCTGCTGCACTGCAGTGTTACATACTGTCCCTGTTGCAATGTGGGGATTCCTATTTAACACACCTCAATAAGAGCAATAGGAGTCTGCAGAAATCCACTCTGCAGACTTCATACACCTGCTAACTGACAGAAGGAAGTTCTGATCCTCATACTTTGCACCCACACAGCTGCTGTCCTGTTCACACCACAAAACCAGAACATGGAAATCTGTTTCCTCCAGATGGACACATGACACCCCGCCGCCTGTCAATCAGCTGACTCCCACAGAAAGCAATGGGAGTCTCCTGCAGGAAATAAACAGACCTGACTGTCTCCACGACTTCATACCTGCTGCATCTCTGTCAGCCAGGACCAAGTTCAGATCAGTCTGAAACCAAAACTTTTCTATTTATACAGGATTCAAAGTTTTTTTCTCCACACTGCAAAAAGTTCTTTTTAGGAAAAATAATCTAACAGTTTATTGCTAGGAGATGCTGAGTGGGCGTGAAGTGATATTCTGTATTCAAAACAGAGCTCATATATATTCATCGGGCGCCGATCATCCAGTGCTGGTGCACTGAGCGAGGAGGACGGCTGGATATTTAGTGCTGTGTTGCTGCTGCTCAGGATGGAGGGAAGGTGCGAATGTTTACAACAGAGGAGGCTGACGACAGGGAGACATAAAGACTCCGCTGCGGCCAGGCATCGTGCCGTTGTCATGGCAACGAAAACACCTTCCTATAAACTGGATGAAATCTGTTTTAGTTGCCATGGTTACAGCTGGAGTCAGACAGGGAGACGGAGCGAGGGAGAAATAAAAGTTCAAGACACTGCAGACATTCAAGCACTTCATTTTGCTGGGGGAAAAAAAACTACAGCGTCAGTTTTTTGTGATACTAGATTATTATCATTATCATCAGTAGTAGCTGCAGCAGTGTTATTAACTGAGGCCCAGCTGCTGTCCTTAATGACAGAGGGCGCTTCAAGCTCCAATTCAGTAAAGAACAAACTCTGATTTTGTGTTGTCTGATTACTGATCACCAGTCTGTCATCACATCAGGACGGGAACTGAAGGTTCGCTGTAAAAACAACTGCAATTAATGGTTCTTAGAAGCGTATTCATTCACATGTGCAGACTCAAAGGAGCATGCTGGCTTCTGTACAGTACATACTCTGCTGGCACATGAAAAAGAAGTTCATTTCCAGAGTGTAGTGTTTCCAACAGTTAAAGAGGTATATGCATCTTTGAGGTCCAGTGTGTAGGATTTAGGGGCATCTGCAGGGGCCATAACACACCAAATTCCCATCAAAGAACTAGCAGCGATGAAAGCTGACTGTGTTGCCTAATGTTGACATGTCTCAGCCAGAAAGTTGTACATAAACACACTCAAAGACTATAGCCATCAGCCAACCAGCATGTACATTATGTGCCTGTGCAAGAGGAAATAACTCTCATCATCAGCAGACAGCATTAGTCTGTAATTATCATTCAAAAAGGGAAACTGGAAGATGTCTTGATGCTAGTTAGCCAGTTAGCACTTAACAACACAACCCAGTGCTGAAAGAACAGAGCATATTTTCCATGTGGCAGCGAACAATAACACAAACCATCAGGAAACGTTTCTGCTAAAGAGCTAAATGGCCAAAGAAAAATAATCTTACCTCATATGACAAATTTGTTTGGGTCTCACTGCCTCATTACTTTAGCTCTTTGTTTACTTTCCTCACTTCTATTTCTCTTCTTGTGGGCTGAACTGAGCTGACAATCAGAGTGATTTCACTCACTGACAGGCTCCCTCATCACCAATGCCAATTCAACACACTGAATCGGCTGGAAAAAAAAGTCAATGAGGTCCAACGATGCAGGACACACCTCAAAGACTAGGGCGTCAGACGCTCAGTGATGGCTCAAAATTAACTGACGGCCAATCATTGGCTTGGTGTGTTAGGGCCTTTGCTGTGTTAGCACATGGGTGAAATTCTGCAGGCTCACCACTAGATGCCACTAAATCCTACAGACTGGGCTTTTCAGTAAAAGTGCAAACAACAAAGTAAAAATACTCAAGTAAAAGCCCTGCATTTATAACCCTACTGCAGAGAAGTAGTCTCACGTAGCCCTTTCTCACACTGTGCAATCACTGGGGAATAGCCTTGCTGTGCTCATCATAATCCCACACAGTGGTTGAAAAACACTCTCGGTTGTTAGTACTTCTTTCTGTCTTTAAACCTACGACACAATTGTCCTATGTAGCGCTAAGCCCAGGATGCAGCAAGGGTGCCCTTGCAAAAGAGGCATGTATAGCTGCAGACACATTCCGTTTGAAGCCTGCAAGACACGCTCCTCAAACTGCGGCCACCTCCGGTACATGACAAACCCTGCTACAATACAACGTGGTATATTCCACTTTATAATCGACTTTATTCATTTACTTTTTTCATTATACATAATTCACTTTATAGTAACAGATGTAACCCCTAACCCTAACCGCCTCTCTTTTAACCTCACTTAACATTTTATTCAGGGTTTTTGTTTCCTAGGCTAAGGGGCGAAGTGGGTTGATCATGTAGGTATGATGAGTGAATCATGTAGCTACTGCGTGGATCTCGTAGCTGCTCCAGCGGCAATTACTTACTCATCACAAAATAGTGTCGGGAGGGAACTTGCTTTGGTGGAACATTTTGCATATGGGGAGGCGAGCATAAAAATGGCTGAATACCCACAAAAGTTAGCACCACCATTTTCAACAAAGTGGTTGAAGGAATAAAAAGAGGGAGGCTGTGTTCACACGGTCCAACGAGTTTCCAACCACCAGTAAGAAACTTCGTATTTTGATGCAAAGAAGCAAAACGACAAGCGGCTCCAGCTCTTACTGCTGTTGTACGACTCTACAGACAGTTAGCTAGTTTAGTCCAGTGTGTGTGTGTGTGTGTGTGTGTGTGTGTCTTACCTCTGTGATGTACTTTTATACTTCTGCCTGTAAACAAAAAGAAAAAATAGATCAGTCACTCATCAAAAACTCACTGTGTTCAGGTGTGTGTGTGTGTGTGTGTGTGTGTGTGTGTGTGTGTTTTTAGACAGTGGCTACATGCTGTATTGCAGGTCACATGACGAACACTGGCCCAAAATAACCCTTTCCCTCAAACACAATCAGCACAAGACGATGAACACATTTTTTCTCTGACTGTCACAAACACCACGTGATGGTTCTTTCTCTGATCACAAATAGATCCATTCAGTCCAATTAAAATTCTGGGAGAGTCATATCATTAAGTCAGCCGGCTTCCCAGGGGAGGCTTTAATGTTCCCCTGCAGAACAGGTATCCACTTCTATTAGCCCTAATGTTCACTTTGAGGTGCTGCAGACCCCAGGCTCTCTTTAACACATCCAAAAATATAGTTAACATTGTTTTATCAGATTGATACTTAATGACTTTTACTAATTTCTCATTAGAGATTAGAAAATTTGCAAAGCTGATATCAATGAAGCAGCACGACTCCTCCAAAAACTGTTATACACACACTTGCACCCATTCAATCAGCCACAACATTAAAACCACTGACAGGTGAAATTAATAATGTTGATCATCTCATTACAGAGCAATGTTCTGATGAGAAACCTTTGGTTCTGGCATTTATGTGGATGCCACCTGACGCGTACCACCCACCCAAACACTGTTGCAGACCAAGTACACCCCCTCATGGCAACAGCACTCCCTGATGGCAGTGCCCCCCCAGCAGAACAATGCATCATGCCACACTGATAAAACTATCCAGGAATGGTGTGAGGAACGTGACAAAGACCTCAAGGCATCGACCTGGCATCAAAAGTCCCCAGATCCCAATCCAATCGAGCAAACGTGGGAAGTGCCAGTACCACAGGGCCAAGTATGATCCATGAAAAAAGTATGAAAAATTGAAACTAATTTGCCGCAGTAACAATGTTTAAATAATTATTTCACTGCTGGAAAGGTGGGCTTTTAATTATACTAGGATGTGTACGCAGCAGAAAGACACAAATACTTGTGAAATTAGTGCAATATGACCAGAGAAAACAGAGAAAAAGGACTGTAGCATTAATTTTCATAAGAGAGGTATAAAACCTACAACTACCATAATGTATTGCACTACACTGGACCAATAAATGCTCCCACTAGTGAGTCATTAAATGTGTACAGATGGTATTACAGTTAAACAGTGAACAAACATGTTTCTAAAAACATCTGAGGCGGAAATAGTTAATTCAGTAAGAGAATCTTGGTTTATATTTGATCAGCTTAACATCTGATCTCCATTTTATCAGCCTCCATTTTCACTGTGAGAGAAACAGTATGGTGCCCTCTTCCTGTTCACAAACTCTAGCTATTACAGCTAAACACGGCACTAAAATAATTCTGTGAAACCCATTCTCACTCTGAAGTTGTTGAAATCTGGCGCTTGGGCAGTGACTGACGAAAAAAGCTTTATCGTCTTCATGATACACAGCCGGTCATGGTTGTAGTTTATGGTGCTCAGCGGCGTCAGAGGGAAATGTGGTGGGACGAGAATGAAAGTTTAGGTGGCGAAAGTCCGAGTGGGGCAGGTGGAAGTGGGGATGGATGGGTCCAACAAACACAGGCTTTCACCCAGGAGAGCGGTGTTTGTGTCCCGTGAGATTATAAACCAAACCCTGGTCTTTTTTCCTAAACCCAACCACGTATGTTAATTGTTGGGGGGAGAAAAACATCAATTCGCATTGTTGTACCGATGTAGTGCGCTTATTTTGAAAAAGACGGAAACTGTGTGAAGGTGTATTTTGAAAGAAGACGATGCATGTAACACGGCGTCCCAGAACGTCAACAACCAACACATTCAGGGTACCTTGCACGTCGTATCTTGACATAGACGGACTAAACTTTGATATGTGACAAGGTCGGTGTGAGAATGTGCTGCTGGAAACATTTTAGGCAAGAAATAGGCAGTGCAGTATCATAATCTTGATTTAGAATTGATCAGCACTGCCTAGTTTTACCGTTTGATCGAATGTCAGTCGGAGTTTGAGACAGAGAGAGAGCTGGTTTGTTTCTTGATCTACTTCTTTACTCTTAGGACCATAGTGGCGGCTTAGGTGGCAGTCAGTGCAAAATTACAGAAGTAAAAGTTAAATGGACATACACTTGTATAGCACCTTTCTAGTCTGGAAAGTGTACAAGGTGCTACCTGCTACTCAGTAACCATTAAAATGCGCTTACACACTGATGGAACAGCCATCAGGAGTAATTAGGGGCTCAGTATCCTGCCCAAGGATACTTCGACATGCCAACTGGTGGAGCTGGGGATCTAAATGCCACTCGACAGTTACTGGACGAACCGCTCTACCTCCTGAGCCACAGTCGCTGTACAGCCAAGTATAGCCTGTAGTTCAGGCAACAGCCCAGGAGAGCCAGCAAAACTCATTACACCAGGGAGGGGGCATATCTAGGCACTGGTAAGATGGAGGGAGGTTTATCACAGTTCATTTACACGAACTACCCACATTGTTTTGACACAAAGCTGGAAAATCAGCAAATTATCCTTTTTATGGTCCTTTCTCTAATTCGTCACCTTCATTAAATGCAGAGGCCCAGTTAGTAGCAAAATGAAAGGTTACCCTTTAAAACTGTCTGCTCTTTAGGTTTAAATAAGGTCAGAGGAAAAGAACATTAACGGGAAACGATGGTTGCAATTACTGTTTTTTTACATGCACAGGAGGGACACTGAGAGCCCTCAAACAATAAGAATATAAAACCAAAGTCAACTAAACAAAGAGGTAATACAAGCATCAAGGTCACGGCTCACTGCTAAACCCATTACAAGGATTGGACAAAAGAAAAAGTCCCTCCTGTATGTAAATACGTCCACCAGAGGCTGATGACGAGGGTCTGAACGCTCCATTTGGTCTGAAATGAGCCAATCACAGCCCTGGAATCTGACCCTGAAGGCTAATCACAGCTCTGACAAGTCTCAGCTCTGAAAGGTGGCAGCGGCAGGAACCTGTTATTTCACAGCCGATCGGTAATTGTACGCTGGCCCGCGTGGGCGGATCGGCACTGAATTACAAAGTGGGGTACAGCGGGGGGAGCAGCGGCTGGCTGCAGCCTGCATTGTGTTTTTGGTGGGAAAAAACAAAAGCATGCTGCAGTACCAACAGTGACAGGTGAGGACAGAGATAGTTTCTGGAGAATGACTCACCACTCTGTCATGACTTTTCCAGGCTGACGCCTTCACTGAGAGAATTTGCATTTTTTTTCCCCTTCATGTGTTTTTGCTTTCTCTGCTTCCCTCTGTGCAGTGATACTTTCACCTCACACATTTTCTTCCCTGCGTCCTTGAGCATTATTAGCACTGAGCGTGTAATGTATTCTTAGATGCATTATTTCTCTGCACGACTGTTTGTGTTGCACCACCGCAGGGTGCCTTTCGCGCTTTTTTAGTGGTTAACTCCATTTACACCGCCTACATCAAGACCAAGCGCCCTGGCCTGAAGAAAAAGAACAGCATCCATTAAAATGTAGCAGCCTGATAATAAACCAACTGCAGCACACACACACACACACACACACACACACACAAATAAATATACATAAATTCATGAAAGCAACTTGTTTTCTGTTGTTTTGGAGTCAAACTTCAAGTTAAATATTAGTGTGAAAGCATTTGAACAGAAATAAAAATGCAGAGCAACAAACACATCCTAGTTTCTTGTGTTTTTCAGTCGCTGCAGTTATACTCACTATCCATCCATTTCAAATGCTGTAAACATCACTGCCCTCACACTTCCATGTGTCCTTTATGCTTGCATAGATACAGCCAATGGATGGCACAAATGACAAACGAGGCAATGGAGGAGTTCTTAATGTTCAAAACATTCTCATCCCAAGTCATCACATATCGCCGCTTTGTCAGTGCACTTTCATGTCTACACATTACACACTGGGTGTCCTTCTCTGTCTGCTATTGATGTGGTGCTACCCGTGCCAGGTCATCGACAAAAGCACGTGGTTAGATTCAGAAAAAAAACGTTGTGGTTTGGCTCTACATTCATATGGGAAGCAAACATCCAGCTCCTGGGTGAAAGTCCGAGGATTGTTGGACCCATACACCATCACTCCCACCTGCCCTATAGGCACACACTCCCTGTGTCCACATGTCAGGATGTATTTACTACGCTGTCTCCGTTTTAAATATTATGACCACTTCTACCGTCGCCTCATTTTTTGTTGCTATCTATTGCCATTGATTGGCTGTATGTATGCCAACATAAAGGACCCATGGACGCATGAGGGCAGTGACATTTACAACATTTGAGACAGACATATCTTTTTCATATCTAAAGGGAGAATAAATGAGCACAGTACGGACAGAAAGCTGTGTCTGTCTCCGTCTCAACTGGTCTCTACTGTGACCACTGTACAGGACGGACTGGTTTTGATAGGACCACAGTGGCTGTGGCTCTGTATGTTATCCAGAATTTCAGATGACTGGACAAAAAAAATAGTTACCTTGGATTTTATTCTGTTTTCTATTGTAGTCACTGAACTGTCTCAGCTGCTTTCTTTTCTATTTTACGCTCCACAAAACACTCTGATGAACTCTCCAGCGCACATTTTCTCTCTTTCACTTTTATTTTCCATCCTTCTGTCTCATTGTTTCATCCCAGTCTCACCAAAGCATTTCAAAAGGCTGATTAAAAAATACAATTAACAAACTAAAATGAAAAATAACAGTTTCAGAAAGAGACAGAAGCAAAACTCTGTGTAAAGCAATCAAGAAAAATAAAGAAATATCTGTCTCCTCTCGTCAGCAGAGAGTTTGCTGCACTGAGATGCTCTGCTGTTACCACGGAAACTAGAGAGGACGACAAAAAAACAAATCTGTACTCTTATTTGTTTTCCCAACAAACAGCACAAACCTCTGCTGTTTGTTTATCTGTATCAGCAGTTCATACCTATCAGGAGG